GAAGTTTCCCTGGGCTGTGTAAATACCATGCACTGCCAGCTGCACCTCCACACTTGCCAGAGCCTTTTACCCTGGGGGTTAGCATTTTAAAGAGACCCCTCAGGAGTTCTGGCCTCTAACTGCCTCCTCCCCAGCTGGGAACTGTTGACAAGACTCTTAACTAGTGACGTTTGTACCACCAAAGACTCTGTTTTGTGGTTTAAGAAGAATAAAATTGACTACATTAAAAAAATACTTTACATGAAAGCCAAATTCTTAGTATTGGTAGAAGGTAGGGTAGGTACAGGCACTACAAGGGACAATCTTTCTGGAAAGCAAGATCAAATAAATCAAGAGGCAGTGTTAAAATTCCAAGCCCCGAGCATCATTTTGCATAGCCGCGTCGCCTCTCCTTAGCCCGGTGCCTCCTGAGATGGCCTTGTTCTCTGTTTGTGGACGGGATCCCCTCCTTTGCCGAATTCCCAAATCAGCGGGGAGTTATGCTTATGGAAGTCATGCCAGTCATGCGGGGAGGCGGCATCCGCAGCATCCAAGGGGAACCAAACTGCAGGATGGGGCAGGGAGGGAAACTGAGTTGTGATCCAGGAGTTTACTGGTCTTAGAGGCCGTGCAAGTATAAGGCCTCTCTGAGATACCTGCACTTCCTGCTCCTTCGCCCTGAGGCATTTTTATTCAGACTTATTTGCTTTGAGTTTGGGGGGTGAGGGAGGAGAGCTGAAATGAAAGGGGACTCTAGATAACTGCCTAGATTAATTTCTGTCCCTCTAGACTCACTGATTGCCAAGATTTGAAGGAGCCCCATAGCGTACCGTGGGTGCATGTTGTGTTGTTTTTGTTTGAAATAGGTCTTGCGCCCAGGAATGCAGTCAAACTGTAATAGTGACTAAGTGCTGGAAAGCTGAGAGGGAGGGGGCCCAAGTGGAAAATGAGCCTGAGGCAAGAGAAGGCAGGCTGGGAAAATGGAAGTTCCACCAGGCCCACAGGCCGGTTAGAGATTCCTCGCCGCATTAACAGCCCTGTGAGAGGTTTATTTACAGGGCACTAATCATTTTGGGGGGAGCACCCCCACTTTAAACCAGCAAGTGTGTTGGAGAAATAGCCAACCAGAGAGCATTTCAAAGATGGGAACAAGGGTCCTTATTGAATTCCAAGGGGCATCTGCTCCTATCTTCTTAGGCACGTCTGCTGCCTTGTTCTACCAACCCCTTTGACTAGACCGTGACAGGTCCCGAGGAGGGGAGCTGGTACCTGTTTTCAGAGAAAGATTATTTTATTCCTTCTGATTTTTCAGGTGCTGAAGCTAATAAGAATATACGTATGATTTCGCCACCAGCTAGGGAAACTAACCATCAAAGATGATGGAGTGGACAAAAGGGATGAAGAAGCTGAGTTGTTAAGCTGCTTTTAACAAGGTGGTACTATTTCTCAAGTCGAAGCCAAAGGGAGTGGCTTAAAAAAGTCGAAATTTGATTTGAAGGGCCAGAGCCAAGTGTCGTGAGGATGGCATTGCTTGTGGGAGAGGAGGCCTGCACCTGCTGTTTGGTAGCGGCTTCTAAAGTTCAACTTTGAGAGTTTCTTGCTGATCAGGCCCGCAGGGCAGTGCTTTGACCCTTAGTAAAGTGTCAGCAAAGGGCAGTTAAGTGATCAGAGAGATGAGAGAAGTGTTGTCCTTAACCCAGTTCAGGAAATATGTTGATTCTTTCCCCCATGCTTCCTTCCTGCTGTGATCTAGAATATTCAATTTTTGGTTTCACCTCCACCTCTTAACTTGGACCTAACTCCAGAGGAAAGGTGAGCTACAGAGAATGCCTTCTTTTATACCTGGGAGGGATTTGTGGATAAGATTTGACACAGAGTCTAATCTTTCTTATTAAGAGTTCGGTTCTTTGGTCCATCTTGTTAACTGTCTTTTGCTGTGCTTAGTTCTCTCTCCATCCGGTAGCGAGGCTTGCTCTCTATCAGTGTGAAACTGGGGACCGCATTCACCCAGTGGACGAATCCAGTAATATAGTTTAGCTTTTAATGTGTATAAACCCAAATCCTTATCATTCAGCCTGAAAGAGGACTAATGTTTGACATTAGAACAATTTCTAATAATTGTAGTTAAATTAGAAGAGAAATAAATGGTTATTGGATTAGCTTCAGGGATGACACCATTAATCGATATTAACTATTACCTGTATTTATATTTATGTAAAAAGAATGAACCTTTTTTTGTACTTACACTGTACTTTGTTTTAGTTGTCATTTTAAAACCATGATGGTAAGAAATACTATCCTCGTTTCTTGGGGGAAGATATTGACCATTAGAGAAGTGAGGTAACCAGAATTTTATAATTAGTTAGAGGCAGAACTGGGATTCAGATCCCAGTTTCCTAAGTGTGCATTCTGGGCTTTTCCCACAACTTCATTGAATTTACTATTTAGTTAAAGGTAAATCGAGAGACCTATCAACAATTATGTGAGAGAGATATGTAGAAATATTTAAGATCTATAAACTCACTTCCAAAGCACCATCTATTTACTTCTTCTGACATGTTTACGGAAATGTAATTTTATGTAGCATCTCTTCACTGCTACCTTTATAAATTTGATTTCATTTTAATTACCATTGCTTGCTGTGGTCATTTCCAAAATGTTTGGCAGTTCCCACATTTGTCATTTCTAGCGGCAGTGTATTACGTTGCATGCGTATACTGTTCTCCCCCACAGACAAACATTTGGGCTATTTCCAGGTTATAGCTCAAAAATCACCGCAACTATAAATATCTTTGTAAAAAATATATTTTTCTTTTGAATTATTTCTTTGTGATTTAGTGCCGAAAATGGGAATGCTGGGTCAGAAGCTGTCATGTAACAATTCTCGACAGAATTCCTTCCTGAAAGGCTGTACCAGTGTGCTACCTGCACTATATAACCAAACACAAACCTTTCTATCAAACCAAAGCCAATTTCTGTTTTTTCCACCTAGTAATAGATGTGAGGTGGCACTTTAATAATTGTTTTAATATGCATGTCTGTATTCATGTTGTGGGATGTTTCCCCAGTGTTTCGTCACGTAGACAGCGTGTGATCTTATCTGCTGTTGGTTGTAGATGACAGGGTATTGGAGACAGGGTGTTATTCTGGTAGATTTCTATCAGTCCCTTAAAAGTTTTAGAGATAAAACTTATACCTATAGTATTGCTAATTTTCCCCTGCTGTTTACTCTGTTTTCATTTTAATCTCTTTTTTCTTCTGTGCAGCATTTAAAATTGAAACACTTTAAAATCTTCTAGTCAAAAAAATATTTTAAATTCACTTTCATTTTGGGGGAATTTATTATATTGGGTTATGAGATATCATCTAAATCAGTTTTTTTCTCCGTTGATACCCAGTTTTGTCACCAGCATTAATAATAATTTATTATTTTAATAAGTATTTTCCTCTTCACCAAAATATTACAGTGTAGAGAAATTGGAAAATACATAAAAACACAAAGAAAATAAAAATACATCAAGTTGGCTATCCACAGTTAACTATTTTGTTTTTTTATTTTGAATTGTTCATTTTGTAAATATTGCATTGGTCTGACCATTCCTTCACTGTCCTATAGCGTCCCCAATAAGTGGGGGGGGGTGGGACCCAGTTTACTATTTTAGAGTATTTACTTCCCTTGTTTTTCTAGGCGTGTATATTCCTCTTCCCTCCCTTCTTCCTCATAAACTTGGAACATGCTACATAAACCCAACAACACTAATGGAGTAGTGATTTCTTTCCTTACTTTAAAATTTTACTTTGTTTGTTATATATTAAGTTCATTGGGTCATTTCTGGGTTTCTCATTTTAAATTGAAGTATCAGCTAGTTTGCTTATCGCTTATTTCCAAGGTCTTCTAATTGGATAAAATACAGGAAGTATAATTGCACTATCAACAAGCCCATTGATACTTAATATGCATAGGCATTGGGTAAATGGAAAACAGTTCCTGGCACATCATAAACACCATATTAAATGTTAAATAAATTATCTTTGGAATTATGATCCTGAGAGATTAAAACAGTCTACATCATTTTTAAAATAGTATTCAGTTCGGTTAACTAAACTCTACTCACTATGTTGAAAGATTTTCCATAGTAAAATTGAAATAAAAATGTATTTTGGGGGCCCCTGGCTGGCTCAGTCAGTAGAACATGTGATCCTTGATCTCAGGGTCGTGAGTTCAAGCCCCACATTGGGCATGGAGCCTACTTAAAAAAAAAAAAAAAAATCTATTTTCGGTTGATCTTCTAGCCAGAAAATTAAAATAAGAAACCCCTTCCTGAACATTCACTCTCTTTAAAGTGTTTCAGAAGATTCACATGAAGTCATGGATATGTAAAAATTTTTTAAGTGTCCACATGGATAAAATGCTATAAAAAGAATAATAAATTGGAACAAAATTGACAATACAGATTATATAAAAAGGCTTTACAAACTCACAAGGAAAAGACCAAAGTCCTCATAGGAACAGGGACAAAGGGTATGAACAAGCATTTCCCAGAAGAAATGCTAATGGCTTTCAAACATATGACCAGATATTCAGTCTTACCACCCATAATTAGAAAAAATACTGTACACATTTAAACAACAGGAAGGAAACTTTTTTTGTAATAAAGATTTTATTTATTTATTTAACTGACAGAGAGAGAGAGACAGCTAGAGAAAGAACACAAGCAGGGGGAGTGGGAGAGGGAGAAGCAGGCTTCCCACCAAGCAGGGAGTCCAGTACGGGGCTCGATCCCAGGACCCTGGAACCATGACCCAAGCTGAAGGCAGCTGCTTAACCAACTGAGCCACCCCGGTGCCCTAGGAAGGAAACTTTTTAAAAAAGATTTTTATTTATTTATTTGAGACAGAGAGAAAGTGAGTGGAGGGAAGGGCAGAGGGAGAGAATCTTCAAGCAGACTGCCCACTGAGCGCAGAGCCTGACGCAGGGCTCGATCCCACAACCCTGAGATCATGACCTGAGCCGAAGGCAGACACTTAACCGACTGAGCCACCCAGGTGCCCCTAAAACCATCCTTTCTAACCTGTATCTGTTGTAATCTTGAAAGCAGGACTTGATTGCTGCCTTTTAGCAAAGGGTAGTAAATGTGAAGGTATAGCAGAGACTGGAAGAAATACATGTCTGTCTCTTCTTTTCTCAACAGACCTGGTAGTTATTACTTTGTTCCAAGCAGTGTACCTTTATTGTCCAATGGAGCAGGCCAGGGAAACATAGGGGAGCTATGGGACTTAAGGTGAAGTTTTCAAATTCTTGTCCATAATTTCAAAATTCTGTCCAAAGGTGCATTTTCAGAGGGGCTTTGTGCTTCTTCTCCCTGTCCCCTACCACTCCAGCCCAGTCACAAACTATGCCATTCCTGTTGCCGGTGCACTCCCTTCTCTCTTACTGCTCTTAACTTTCCTCACCCAGAAAGTACTATTGACACTCCCAACATTTTCTTAATTGAAAAATTCAAAACAGAAAAGTTGAATGAAATGTACCATGAACACTCATATGCTCACAACCTAGATTCTCTAGTTAACATTTCACTGTATTTGCTTTATCATGCATTTCAAAGTGAGTTGTAGATATCAGTACACTTCACCTGTAAACACTTCAGCATGCATGCATATAATTGACTGGTATATATTAGTTTATGGGCTTTTTTGTTTAAGAAAAATTTCTATACAGTGAAATGCTTACATCTTAAGTATATCATTTGGTGCATGTTTTTTCATTTGATGCATTTTTGACTAATGCATACATATCCGTGTAACCCAAATCCCCTTAAGATTTAGATATAGAATGTTACTCCAGAAAGTTTCTGCATGTTCCTTCCCAGTCAATCCCCTTCCCAGTGATAGGATTCCCAGTGGTAATCACTGCTCTGATTCTTCCATTATAGATTAGTTCTCCTTCTCAAACTTCACATGAACAGAATCATACAACATGAACTCTCGTGTAACGTTTCTTTTTTTTTTTTTAAGGATTTATTTATTTATTTGACAGAGAAAGAGAGAGAGCACAAGTAGGCAGAGCGACAGGCAGAGGAAGAGGGAGAAGCAGGCTCTCCCCTGAGCAGGGAGCCCGATGCGGGGCTCGATCCCAGGACCCTGGGATCATGACCTGAGCTGAAGGCAGCTGCTCAACCAACCGAGCCACCCAGGCGCCCCATGTGTGACGTTTCTTTCATTCAGCATGATGTTTTTGAGATTCACCCACATTACTGTGTATATCAGTAGTTGTTTCCTTTTTATTGCCGAGTAGTATTTCATTGGATGAATATATACCAAAGGGTGTATGCCTATTCTCCTCTTGATGGCTGCCTGGGCTGTTTTCAACTTTTGGCTGTTAATGACTAAAGTTCCTATGAACATTCTTGTGCAAGTCTTTTTGTGGACATATGCTTTCTCTTGGGAAATTGCTAAGTCATACAGTTGGTATATGTTTAGATTTATAATAAACTTCCAGACATTTTTCCAAAATGGCTGTACCATTTTGCTTTCCCACCAAGATTGTAACAGAGTTCTTACTGGCCTTCAAAAAATATACATATACATGTATATATAATTGTGTGTGTATATATTTGTGCATATAATTGAGTGGTATATATTAGTTTATATATATATACACACACAATTACAGGTATAAAATTACATATATATATAAATGCATGTATAATATATACATATGCATACAATTATACATATGTATTTATAATTTCTTCATATTTTCTGGATATAAGCCATTTGTCAAGTATACATTTTGTGAACAGTTTCCCCCGGACTGTGGTATATATATTAATTTTGGTGAGCAAAAATTTAAAATTTTGGTAACGTCTCATTTATTAAACTTTTATGCTATTGCCTTTTGTGTCCTAAGAGACCTTTGCTTAGCCCCCAAGTTGCAGAGATATTTTGATATATTTTCTTCTATCAGCTTTATAGTTTTACATGTTATGTTTAAATTTATTTTGAATTAACTTTTCTGTTTGGTATGAGGTAGGAGTCAGAGTTTGTGTTTTTCCTTAGGGATAGCCAGTGGTTCCAACTCTCTGTTATCCTTTCTCCATTAGATTGCTTTGGCATCGCTACAGACTCTGTAATGGACAGGCTGTTCTCCTTGGCTCCCTTGGTTATCCTAGGGTGGAGAGAGAAAGTTATTCCTTTCTGGTGTCCTAACCCCATCACTTATATCTAGACGTATTCTAAATACTCCTGAGTTCTGACTCATAAGCCTATGGAATTTTCTCTGGTTGGCAATGAGTTGTGACTGGGTTATCTGTTCTGTCTGAACACAGGATGGCCAGTGTCCCCGTGAAGGAACGGGTGAGGGTGTCTCAGAACTGGAGGTTGGGGCGCTGCCGAGAGGGGATCCTGCTGAAGTGGAGATGCAGGTAAGTAGCCTCTTGACTCTTAAAGCTACCTGGGACAGAAAAGCGTGCTGGGAAGTAAAAAGTCTGGTCCTAGCTAGAGTGGATATGTGCCTCTCTTGAGTGGTGTGGCAAAGGGGGCATCGGAGGGACTTTTTTTTTTTACATTTGTAAAAATTACCAAAAAATGTACTTTAACAAATTCCACATTTTTATGATTATAAAAATAACACATTTATTGTAGAGATTTGAAAAAATAGAAGCATTTAAAGAGGCAATAAAACTTCCGTATAATGCTACCACTCAGAGGTAACCACTGTTAATGTACCTCATCAAAAGAAAGAAATGAAGCCAACATTTCAACCCATCTTGTTTTACAGTTATTTTTCTTTAAATCTACTCTATGGAGTTACGCCTTCACTTCCTTCACTCCATTAGCCCTCTGCCCAACTTTATTAAGAAGGCAAAATAGGACCTAAAGCCTTGGCTATAGATGTTACAGGAGGTAGAGTTCAGAACTGTGAGGAAATTTAGACAGTGGCTTTGGATTGCTAATGCCGCAAATTGTATGCTTCACTGATGCTACATTATTTCATAATTATCATTTGACTTCCTACCAAAGAAGTGCTCCTTGTTGATTGGTTGGAATGGATAAGGAACGTCATGGTTCCTCATTCCAGGTTGACCTGCAGACAGGCTTCTTCATCTGAAGACCCCTTCTCTCTTGCTGGTGTCCAGTTTCTGCTGCTTTCATGGGTGGTGGTTGCTGTGAATTATGCGGGGGTCCTGGTGGTGGTAAAGAAACTACTAGGGAGAAAGACTGATTTTTATGGTAAAAAAAACTTTGCCCTCTGCTTCCTGCTTTTACCTTTTAATACCAGAAAGTGGAGTTTATTTCTTTATCAAGGTTTTGTCCCTGACGTCTTTTTTGGGGATGGTTTTCAAAGCAATTTGGCAAATAAACACACAAAGCAGTTACCAGGCTGCCCCAGGATTCTCCACTGTTCACCTGGAATGAACCTGGTTTCTCGTCCTAGGCAAATGGCTGTTTACCAGATGGCTCTAAACACATGCATTCCAACCATCCCACTTGACTGTGCCACAAACCTGTGCAAGGGGATGTTGAAGAGGGAAGTGTATAATGAGTGAGAATGTAGGCATCTATACACACTCTACACATGTTCTATATAATATATGCACACACTTGTAAAAACCTCCTGAGCAGAAACTCAGCTCTACAAAGACCAAGCTGCATTTAATGGCCCGTCAAGTCAATTTGCAGAACTTTTCCACATTCCCATGACGCTTGTATTAAGGAGTCTGGGGAAGAAACACAGCCCAGTTTGCTCAGACAGGCTTGGCAGTGGGAGATGGTGTCTCAGTAAATGTGGATGAATCAGCTGTCCCTATGCTTTGCTTGGGATCTGGTAGCTCCAGAACTCCTACATAGAGTAGGACAGGCTGCTGGGATGTCTACCTTGGGAAAGGGGCTTAGTCCCCACCAGAGAGCCTGGGCTCTGGCAGAGTCTGTCTGCCTTTCTCTTCGTTTCTTTTTTCTTCTTTTTCTGTCTCTTTCTCTCTCTCTGCGTCCCTCCCTCCCTCCCTTCCTCCCTTCCTCCCTTCCTTCCTTTCTTTTTCTTTCCTTATTTTAAAAAGATTTTATTTATTTGTGTGTGTGTGTGTGTGAGAGAGAGAGAGAGAGAGAGAGCACAAGAGGAGGAGCAGAGGAAGAGGGACAAGCAGACTCCACGCTGAGTGGAGCCTGTCTCAGGCTTGATCTCAAGATCCTGAGATCGTGACCTGAGTTGAAATCAAGAGTTGGTCGCTTAACTGACTGAGCCATGCAGGCGCCCCTGGCAGAGTCTTCTTTCTTAAGGCTCATTCCATGCCATGGGACTGGCCTGTGGCTTCTAACCTTTCTCCCTCCTGCCAGACTATAGAGGGAATCTTTGACTATTTGTGGATTTCTCTTATCAGCTGCCTAGGAGAGCTGATTATTTCTCTGGAGCCCCCAAACTGTAGTGGACTGCTGCGGAGCTGTGTTTTCCCCTTGCTCCACTTACCCTCTAATACAGAAACACAGACATCCCATGTGAGGATCTAGATAGCTAACTAGTACATTAGCATCCTTTCCTAAGTGGCCTTATTCCTTTCACTTATAAATGGCCCCTTTGCATAGTGGGATAAGGGAATGGGGCTTCTTGGGGCTCACTCTTCTCTTTTTTCCATCTACTCTGTTGGAGGAAGAGGTAAGAAGTATGTGTGGGAGTCTTGGAACCTCGAAACTTATCACTTGACACTTCAAATTGGGGAGGATGCAGAATGAAAGAAAATCACTTCATCTGGGTGGAAGGTTTTTTTTTTTTTTTAAGATTTTATGTATTTATTTATTTAGAGAGCACAAGCAGGGGAAGCAGCAGGCAGAGGGAGAGGCAGGCTTCCCGATGAGCAAGGAGCCCGATGCGGGACTCGATCCCGGGCCCCTGGGATCATGACCTGAGTGGAAGGCAGATAATGGACTGAGCCACCCAGGCTCCCTGGAAGGTGTCTTTTTTAACCCTCTCCATGCCCCAGTCATTGAATTTGCTGAGCTCTGCCTACCCCCAAGAAGTCTACGCTGCCAGTAATTCGAGTCATAAGCATTCTCCAATTAAGAGTGATATTTAATTGGTGTTTTAGTTCTGACTTTCTTTTATAAAGTCCAGAACTTTCAGAACAGAAAGTTTTACTTCTAGAAGTTTCTCCTCCCTTTGCTCTTTTCTTCCTTAAACTTTGTATTCTTTCAGAGACATGCACACCGGAAAGCTCAGTCTCTCTGGTTTTCTAAGGGTGGCCTAAGGGTAGGTAGTTTTACAGGAGAATGGGGAGGTAAAGGCTGAGCCGTACAAGTTATCCTTGCTAAGTTGGGGATCAGTCAGCCTCTCCAAAGATTGGAATCAGTTTTCATGCTGTATCTCGTTGACTCTTAAATTGTGTTTTACATCTCTGCAGTCAGATGCCCTGGATGCAGCTGGAAGGTGATGCTCTGTACATATCCCAGGCTAATTTCATCCTGGCTTATCAGTTCCGCCCAGATGGTGCCAGCTTGAACCGTCGGCCCCTGGGAGTCTTTGCTGGGCATGATGAGGACGTTTGCCACTTTGTGCTGGCCAACTCGCATATTATCAGTGCAGGAGGGTAAGTGCTGCAGGCGTCTCCTTCTACTTCTTCCTTCGCATTCTTCAGGGAACTTCGGCTTGCCTACCTCTGACTTTTCTTTCTCAGCTCCAAAGGGATGAGGAGGGAGACCTTAAGAAGAGGGAGTGTTTTTGTTTTTGTTTTTGTTTTTCCATGTGAAGCAGAGAGATTTACCAAAGGCACTTAATAGGGTTAGCTGGAGAAGGAAAACAGGAAGAGCCTTTAATGAAAAGTGAAGCTGGTTTTGATACTCTCATGGGGGGAATTTGCTTTGTCTCTCAGCTCTGTTCAGCCCCGGGTGTACTGAAGAAGTAGAGGTGTCTCAAAGCTCAGCGCCTTGTTGAGCTGAATTGCCTAAAACAGGACATCCCTGGAGACGCAGGCTGCTTCTGTAGCCTTGTTCTCTTCCGACAGAGAGAATAATTGGCTGTTGGGGGTGGGCTCCCTATTTCTCTCCTAGAGATGGGAAGATTGGCGTTCATAAGATTCATAGCACCTTCACTGTCAAGTACTCGGCTCATGAACAGGAGGTGAACTGTGTGGATTGCAGAGGGGGCATCATTGTGAGTGGCTCTAGGGACAGGACGGCCAAGGTGAGTGGTCTCCTCCTTACGTATGGTTATTCCCTCTGTCTATAGGGAGTGGGGTGGGAGGGGGTGGGCAGGCCTTGAGCCTTGGGATTGGCTCCTCGAGGGCGCTGGGTGGGGGCGGGAGGGGACGACACGATAAAGGACTCACTTATGTGCCTCAGGCATGCAGTTTGCGGTGCCAGACTATGTCCCTGCCAGCTGGCCTGAGAAAGGAGTGGACAGTGGCTGGGAAGCTTGCCACTCACTTGAAATGTGGCGTGAACTCAAAAACAGAGGGCCTGGCCAGCTTTTCCTCCCTGCGCTGAATTTCCTCAAGTTTGTGGGCTGAGTTCTGACCCCAATATTTTATTTTAAAATCTCCCTCCTTTTGCTTGCTCTCTGTTTAGGGAGGTTAATTTTTCACCACCGTGTTTATAAGCAATCAGGCTGATAATTAAAATGTGTTTTTACTGCTTCTCTGGAGAGTGATGTGGTCAGCAAGCAGTAGAAAGACAAGGAGGGAAAGGCGTTTTGGTGCGTCATTGCCAAACTGCCTGGGCTACAGTCAGTCATCTGCCAACAGAATGAGGCCGATAAGTAGTGTGACCCCTGCTTTAGGGACTCTGCTCATCCACGTTTGAGTCAAACAGGCCTCTACCCATGAGACAGAGAAGAATGTCTTTCTCCCTGCCTGTGTCCAGCAGCCCTGGGCGGGGCCCGCACACACCTGGTCCTTTGGGGCTGCTGTGGGAACTTCGCTGACAATTCAGTCGAGGTGCAGGAAGCCCGATAGCATCTTACTTGCCTGTTTCCCGGCATCTGGAGACTTCATAGTGCCAACAGGAGCAAAATGCCTCTTCGTGTCAGCAAATTGGCTGCTAAGACACCTAGGGAGGGTCTCCGGAGAGGGAAGTTGCAGTTTTTACTCATTAACTTTTCCGACTCCATGTACCCTCTGGTGATTATTCCTTCATATAAAAATGCCACCAGTTTATTTATTTATTTATTTATTTTAAAGATTTTATTTATTTATTTGAGAGAGAGAGAGAATGAGAGATACAGAGCACGAGAAGGAAGAGGGTCAGAGGGAGAAGCAGACTCCCCGCTGAGCGGGGAGCCCGATGCGGGACTCGATCCCGGGACTCCAGGATCATGACCTGAGCCGAAGGTAGTCGCTTAACCAACTGAGCCACCCAGGCACCCTAAAATGCCACCAATTTATATAAAAAGGGCAACATATGTTCCTTTTTACTTCTGGAAGTTTCTCCTCCTTTTGCTCTTTTATTCCTTACACTTTGTGTTCTGTCAGAGACATGCACACTAGCACAGGAAGCCTGAGAAAAGCCCAGAAAAATCTTTGGAACCAACTTGGAAACTAAATTTCCTATTGCCTGTTTCCTGTTTCCCCTACCCTATACTTACTTCAGGTTTCTGACTGGTCACTGTTCTTGTACCATCCCTTGCAAACAAACTGGCCTTAACCTGCTGTACTCCTCAGAAACAATTTGCATAGAAATCTTTTTGCCATGTGACCCCTAAAAATATTCCCATCTCCTTCTGGCATCTTCCTGTCATGGCTTCAAGGCTCCCCTGGCCCCTCCTTTTCAGTGACATCCCTTTCTTCTATCCTCTTCTCTGTGGTCTGACACCCAGAGCAGTATAAAACTAAGCTTTTTGACCAAAGGTAGCAATTCAGGGGGATGGACTGCTTGTAGTCAAAGGATAGTAATCCCAATATTTGGGATATTGGGTTAGTTTCATGTTTTAAGTACCGACTCAACCCTATTTGGTGGATTCAGTTTTTTTTAAGCATTAAAGTAGGTACTTTCTAATTATAAAATTGTCACCGCAGTTCATCCTGTTTCCTTTGAGGATTTCTTTTAAGTCAGTGACAGAATCCCCTCCCCACCCCCGCCCCGGTTCTTCAACTCCAGAAAGCTGGCCTGCTGTTTTGGGGCTCCCCAGTGACCTCCAGGCCAGCTCATCGTTGCAGATTTCTGGATGCTGCTGCTGCTCCCTCTCCGTTGCTGTCTTTGCCTCTAGCTGCCTTCGTCTTCCTGACCTGTCTCTACATTACCCAGCGCTAGTCTTGTATAACCAGCCCTCCATTTCTTTTTGGTGGCGTCTGCAGTCCCATAGCTGCTTCTGTAGGCTTCTAATACACCCCAGCCTACATGAGAACTTAGTCATGTTTGCCTGTAAACATCTATAGCCAGTTTGTTGGGAGTTCCCCCAAATACGTACTGTGTTTTAGGAAAGAGATTTGTTTTACTGGGGTGAAAGGAACTAAAACATTTTCTTTGTAAGACGTCTGAGTTAGAGACTGCTCAGGGAGCCTTCTTCCCCGCGCCCTCCCACCCCCCGCCCCTTTCAAACTTACCGTGACTTAGTTTGGATTGCCCCTCCATCCTGATATGTGATAGGAATGTAGGAATGTTCTCAGTGGGACTGGGCTGGTCCTGACCATTCTTTCCTTGTCTCCCTTAGTTCTCTATTCTTCCATTTATTCTTAAAAGTACCTACTATATGCAAGGCATGGTGTATAAGGCACTGGGGCTCTTCAAAGGTGAGGAAGAGCCAGCCTCTCTTCTTGAGGCGAGCTCAGACATGCCTGCCGTGGCTCTGAAGCTGATGAGAAGTGGCTGGGACTGTGAAGTGTGTAAGGCTCTAGGGAGAGGGCCAGAAAGTTCAGAGGGTGGAGAGATCACATCTGGCTTGAAAGGGGAGACTTTATGAAGGAAGGAACATTTGAACTTGTTTTTTTCTTCTTTTAGTTATTTTTCAATGCAGAGGTTTGCTTGTTTATATATAAGTAACCAGGCACGATGCTAAGCACCTTACAATTGTTCGTTTTCTCCTTTAGGAGAATTGTTTCCCCACATAATTATGCTCATAATATATTTTGGATATCCAATATACCCTACTGTATCTACTTTATTTTATAAGGTTTTCTATTATTATTACATATTATTATTAAGTGTCATCTTCAATGGCTTAATGAGTAATAAGACCCGCCATTATTGAATGCTGGATATCTGCCAGATGCTGGGTTTCTGTGTTTGGTGCTTTATGCATTTCTTGACTTTTCTGCAGCCCTCAGAAGATAGGTATTATTTCCCATTGTACATATGAAGAAACTGAGGCTAAGAAGTCCTGAAACATCCTTAAGATCAGAGATAATAAATAACAACTGGGTTCAGACCCACATGTGTCTGACTCCAAAGCCCACGCCTGCCTTATCTGCTCTTCTGGGAATATTTTTACCATATAGGTTTCTCTTCGTTTTAGAATTATCTTTGGGTAGAATCTTCAGCAATAGAATGACTGGGTGTGAGGCTTTGGTCATTTTAAGAGTCTTGATACATATCGTCAACTGCTCTTTGAAAGGACTATATAAATGTCCACTTCTACTGAGTTATATCTTTTCCAGGGATGGGTTTGTTTTGGATTTGACCGCTGAGGGTGAAGGTGTGATCAGCATGTTGTTGTCACCTCCCCTCCCTCAGGCGTCATGACACTCGGGTTCCTGCTAGGGCAGCACTTCCCCAACGTCATGCTCAGCACCGGCAGCAAGCCTCCTGAGCCCCTCCTGGAGACCGGACACCTTGTCCTGTGGTTTGCACAGTGTCAGAATCCACCAGCCCCTTCCGTGGGGGGCACTGGTGAGTTCAGGACTGGAGCTGGCCCCATAGATTTTATAATCAGAGGCCTTAGTGTCGCCTCACCCTCCAACCTGCCTCCTAGAGAGTTGGCATCTGAGAAAAGGCAAACCTCTCCTCTGGGCTGGGACTGTGTGAAAGAAGACATTAGAAGTGCACCTAGTTACAGGCAAAGTGGCCTGGCTGTAGATCCAGAAGGGTAAGCCAGAATCCTGGCACTCCAGGAAAGTTGTGGTATTTACCTTTGTTTTCTGCCCCTCCTTGTTCAGGATCTTCTTGTTAAGTTTATTTTCTTTTCCTTATATTGGAAGGAACTCACACCCTCCTCCCCCTGTCATGCATACACAAAATCTTAAAACACTTTATCCTTTTATAGGGAAGACATGTCATGTGACCCTAAGAAGGCAAGACCACCCCCACTCCGTCACCTGCCCCTTAAACTCAAGGAATGTCTCCTGAAAGTTCTTCCATCTAAGGTCCTGACTGGCTTTTGTGTGTTCCCCCTTATAGCACTGCAGGGACCTTGAGAGGTCAGTGAGCCATCTGGCAGCCTCAGGATCCCTCCTTGGCCACTGTCTGGGACAGCCCTGTACATTCGAGGCTTCCTTTCTGTTTGGGTAGAGGCTTATTTCCCTGAGTGTGTCATCTGGGGTTGGGTGAGGTGAGGGGGGCCTTGTGCTTAATGGGAGATTTCTAAATGCCCTGGCCACTGAGGGCTCCCTGAGTGTTGATTAGAGCTAAGCCCGGAGTGGCTGCTAATGTACATTCCTGACTGATAGGGACCAGATAACGTGCTTCAAGCAATATTTTTAACCTGTAGAAGATATGGAAGCTTAAAAGAGTTAAGCTTTTCTGCTACTTCTGCTGACACTAGGTGCTAAATTCCCTGCTGACATGAATAGCACTGGATCCTGGGCACTATCAACAAACAAACAACAACACACCACCTTCGTGCTTTGAAGCCGCTCTTCTTCTTCCATTCTCTCCTTCCCTTGTGTCTTTCTTTTTACTCCTCTCTCTTAATTCTGCTCTAATTCCATCTTTGTGCCCCCATACTGGGCCTTGATCATCCTCCTCCCTACCGCCCAAAGAAAAATCTGGTTGAGAGATAGGAAAAAGGAAAACCCACAAACACAAGGAAGTTACTAAGAGAGGTGAGTTCCACCTGCTCACCCTGCTGAGTCAAGGCTCAGCTGAAGAGTGTGGAGCTTCTGATTCCCTGATACAAGATTGGGTGGTGAAGAAGGGCTTTCAGGTGGATGTTAAGGAGGGTGGTTCGGACTGGGAGTCAGGTGGGTGAGCCAGAGGCTGGGGAGGCTCCTTTGCTCATTCTCTGAGCTCGGCATATGCAGGACAGAAAGGAGTCTCCGTTCCCCCCCCCCGCCCCCCACCTCCCCGGGACACTCACCCCGCATCTCAGTCCCAGGCAGTGCCAACGAGAGTGTCTCTTCTCCTGTTTCCAGGTTTGGCCTTTGGCCTCAGGTCGGCTGGGGCAGTGCTTACACACCATCCAGACTGAAGACAGAGTCTGGTCCATTGCTATCAGCCCAGTACTAAGGTAAGGGAGACGTTTTGGGGTATGGTTTTGTCCTGTATAATAATGCTTTTATTTTCTGAGGTTGGGTGGGCTAGGAAATCTTCCCCCTGTATATTCTAGGTTGCTTTGAGCCTGTCTTCTGGAGATTTTGAAAATCCTCCAGAGGCTTGAGGTCTGTGGCTCACTTCATATATGTGTGGGGTAGAGACAGCATTCCAGAGGTTAACTTCCTAGGCATCTACTCCAGAAATATGAGGGGAAAAAATACTATTAAAATGTGACTGACACCAGCTGTTACAAGAGTGCCCCTTCTGGAACCTATGCTCTCCGGGGTTACTTCCAAAGCAGAGGCCTGTTAGCACCCCGGGGAAGTTACTGCACCGGCCATCCTGCTCTCACAACCCACATCTGGTTTGTTCCCCCTTGGAAAATGTCTTCTGGAGTATCCCTTACAGACCTGAGTCATCAGGAGAGGCGTGGGGCCCATGTCCAACTGGGGACAGGTATGTGGCGTAGAGTGATAATTGTAGCAGAAGTGCCAAATTTTTGATGGCAGCTTTACTTTACTCTTTGGCCTCTTTTTCTCTAGCTTTACCAGTAAACGAGTGAGCTCTGCATCCTGATTTCTGCTTTCTAGGCTTTCTTGAACCAAGGCAGAGCCTCTCTCCTCCCCAGCAGGGTACAGAGACTCTCTCCTGCACCTGCTCTATCAGAGTGTTTGTTTTTCTAGGGTCTTCCCTCACTTCTTTCATCCCTCACTCCTCACCTAAGTGATCAGTGGGCAAGCTGTAGGGCTGCCACCCTCCAACACGGGGTTTAAGTCAGTCACTAGTTTTACGAGAGAGTTGACTCCCCCCCCCCCCAACTCAGCCCCCTTCAGCCTCCCTCTCCTCACCCCATGGAGCCTGTACCCCTCCTGCCCCCTTCTACAACTCCCTTTAAAATTTTTTTCTTTCTAAAGAATTAGAGCCGATTAGCCACGTCATTAATTCTTCAATTTGACGGCTGATATAGCAGGACCTGAAACACATTGCTGACCCCAGAGAATGGAGACCCCGTTCCTTAGCATATTGACGATGGGAGAAGTTAATTAAAATTCCACAGAGCGGAGGTGTCGGCTAACCTATAAACCTGTCGCTGTTCAGAACAAATCATTCTAGCAATCCTAGGAAAGAGGGAAGGAAAGACCAGCAGGGAGTAGAGAGGCCTAAGTGTGTGGGAGCGGACGGTGGAGAACACAGCCATCAGACACGGTCCCCTCTGCAGTGTTTTTTCACTGCTGCCCCTTTTAAAGCCCGTTGGCCAAGCTTGGGGGTCTGTGGGCTGGATGTGTGTAAGGATTGAAGGAAGGCAAAACAGCCTGTGGGAGGTGGCAGGTGGGCTGGTGACTATCCAATGGACATCTGCTGGCTTCAGGAGACTGGGATGGGCTGGGATGGGGCCGGTAGTAGAGGGAAGCTCTTCAGGGCTGGAGATTTAGGCCAAAGGACATGGCCAGCTTCAACTAGCACCCCATCCCTTGCTCCAGCCACCTCTCTGGAATGTGTCAGGCTACCCCGTAACAGAATAGAGCATGACAACTGTTGAAGATAGTTCCAGTAAAAGAGGTTGAGGTCAGAGTCTGCCTCGGCATTAAGAAGCATTTTAGAACACAGTAAACTGGGTTTTGTTTTGGCCACAACTTGCAGACTGGCTTTGAGGAAGGACCTAGCTTTCTGACAGTACCAGTACTAGTCAACAGTGGCCACAATACGTGTGTATTAGTCATTTGCCCTGTGCCAGACCCTTTGCTAAGTCCTTGATGTGCCTCATTTTCGGTGAAAACCTGGGTCTTTTGTTCTCATTCTCCTTCAGAGTCTCCTTGTCCTCTTGGCGTATTTCCTTGGCCCTAAATGACTCTCTCAGTCACTGTCGACTGGCTTTTCAGCTCCTGAACCACAGTTGTTTGAGATGACCTTTTCCCCAGCTCGACAGATGATGTTGTGGACTCTTTGGAAATAGTTTGCATTGGGGATCCTGGCTTTACTAGATGGCTGCAGTGGATGCTGCTGCTCTCTCCGCCGTTTTCTCTCTTACCCTGAAATGTCCTGGGCTAGGGCGGTTTCATCCCATTATTAGATCCATTTCTTCCCTCCGTGTCCATGAATTTGAACCTGTCCATGAATGCTTCCATTTTTCCAATCTGGGGAGACCCTGCCTCCTGGCCTCAGGGTCTGTTCTGGAAGACTGTGGTTCTGCTTTGCCACCATCAGCAGGGTGGCCTCAGGTAAGTCATTCCCTTCTCCGCGCCTATTTCCTCAATTTTTCAATGTGGATACTGCTTCCTTTATAGACCTCTCTAGATGATTGTGAAGATAACCTGAGATAATAAGAAAGTACTCGGCAGGGAAGCCTGAGTGGCTCAGTCACTTGAGCGTCTGCCTTCAGCTCGGGTCATGATCCGAGGGTCTTGGGATCGAGCCCGACATCGGGCTCCTCACTCAGCGGGGAGCCTGCTTGTGTGTGCCTGCTCTCTTTCTCTCTCTCTGGCAAATAAATAAATAAAATCTTAAAAAGAAAATACTTGGCAAAGCTAAAAGGGATATCTTATCATGTCAAACAGAATCTCTCCTCTCCTGGGTGGCATTTGTTCAGAGGCTTTCGTTGCTCTCATGTCTCCAGCTTGGCTGGGGGCTTCTCCTGTCCCTCCTGGAGCTACGCTGCTTGTCTGCAGTCTTCTTGAGATGCGGGACCCTCAGCAGGAATCTCTCCTCCCCCGCCCCGCCCCATGTGTTCCTGCCCTCGCTGGCTGTCTTTTCTTTCCCTCCCTGCCACCTACCCTGTTGAGTACGGTCATCGGTGTGCGTGTGTTCACTACTGGCACGTGGCCGTGAACCCCTCACAAAGAACGTGACGGGGGGGTGGGCAGCAGCTACCCTCTGGGGCCGGTATTCCTGGTTGACTCGATGACTTCCCGGTCTCTCAGTGCTCCCTCATCCCTTTGGAAGGATCCTGAATGGGTAGAAGACCTGCTACATCCCTTTTCTTAATTAATCTTTCTTCCATTGAAAACAATTTGTCAGAGCTCTGCATCGTATTTATCTATGATGCTGGGGCTTTGCTGCCTTCCTTTCTTAGGTGTGTGCTTAGACACTTGTAAGAAACATGAAACCTCAAGCCTCAGGCTTTATTTGAGGGACTTGTGACTGGGGAAAGCCAGTATTCTGTCCTGTGTCCAAATGTCACCTTTCCTTCCTCCCGTGACCTTGAGTTCTCGATTGGTAAACAGCTGTGGAGGGTGATATTTAATACCAGATCTGGGCTTAGAGCGGTGTTTAGGTGCTCGAAACCACAGAAGGAAAACCAGTAGTCTCCACAGGAGGGTGGCAGACAAGGACCTTTTTCTCTACTTCTTGTGTGCCCTCCTGCCCATCTTCTTGCCCTGACACCAGGGATCCTGTTTTTAAGATTCCTGACTTACTGGTGAAGCCCTCCTTCCAGAGAGGGGGCCTGGCCTGGAGTTGTTTGTTGAGGGAAAGGAGGGCAGGCTGAGATGGAAGAGAGAGGAGCTGTGGGAGGCTCACCTGGGGCATAAGGGCGTATGTCCTTGTGTGTGTGCTTGTGTAGCTCACATACAAGCTCCTGAGGTCACGTTGGATTCCGAGCACTTTTCCAGGAGTAACACAGAAAAGCAGAATTTTTAAAATGTGCAATAAGTTGTATTGCCATTTAAAAACTATTTCCAGCTGAATAACTTTAGCAAATAAGCGTGAGGAAATAAGGAACTGCTAAACACTCCTTCCTTCCCTCGACTTTCCATCTCTTCCCTTCCTTCCTCCTCCCCGCTCCCCAAGTATTGACCGAATCCTTGGTAGATGGCGGCTCCTGTGAGGATTTTACTCTGGGGTGAGGTGAGATGGGCGTGTAACTGTAATGGCTGCCAGGTGATACTAAGTGCCCGAAACTCCGCCCTCTCCAGCAGAGGGAGAGTGAGGCTCGGGGAAGACCGACGCAGGGCACGCGTGGTGTGGGACAGAAGAGGTGGCTGTTTGAGCTCAGGTCTCTAGCCTAGAGCCGTGTCCTGTGGTGCTGAGTGACGACCACGAGGCAGGCCCCAGGGCACAGCTGTGCCTTCATCCACCAGCATGATGGACAATAGCTGTGGCCCTTGAAAGGCTCCTGGGGCCTGAGGAACATTCTCTCTTCCTAGAGGCCCGAGTTGAGGTGGAGGGGTCGGAGGGGTCAGGGAGAGCACTACACGCCTGAGGCCTGGGCTCACTCAGGCGGCCGAATGCTTGCACCATCCGGGGAGTGTGAATGCTTATCCATCTTTGGTTTGCAGGGGGGTGGGGGCCTGGGGCCCTGGGGGGTGAAATGAATGCGGAGACCCACTTGCCCTATTCGCCTGCTAGGGGAAGAGTGAGGAGGCCACAGCTCCTCCTTCCTCTGCAGACACCATATTTATTGCCCTGTGCTCAGCAGACTCCTTTCTCCATCTCCGAACAACACTTGCTATCGAGTGAGTGAGTGTGGTCAGAAAGGCTTCCCAGGACACTTGGGTTTTAATCCCTTCTCTCTTGTTTCTGTCATTAGGGAAATATATGAGTGGTATAGGTGTAGAAAATTGACTTAGCTGTGTTATTAAATATACAATATAATTTTGTGTAACTTTGCTTACTGTGGTGGCCTGTTTGTTCTTGGGAGGAATAGTCCAAATCTGCATGAAATGTACCGATTCAAATTTGTAAAGTGAGTTGTGGCCTCTGGGGGGTTTTGATGGAGGAGCTGCTCCTGCTTGCTTCAATTCTCCCAGAGGTGAGGGAGAGTCTGGAAGGAAAGCAGTCACTGTGTACTGTTTGGGGAGGGGGTGGGTTTCTGGGGAGAGCAGGGTGTTTGTTCCAGTGGCTACAGGGTTTACTGTGTGGTGTGTGTGTGGTAAACGCATATTCACCAGCCTGTTGAAATACACCTTTCTTTAGTGAAAGGTAATTGCATCTGGAGTTTTCTCTGACAGAAAGGTTTGAAAGATTGGAAAAAGAGAC